TCATATTCTTGGCCAAATCTAGTCTTGATCAGAAAGTCAAAATTCAAATTCTCTACCTGTTCATTTTCTCAGAGCTTATGAACTTTTGCTGCACTCAGTAACTTTGAGGGAAGCAGGAGTTCTTTCTCCATCTTTTCTCTGTTACCAGTGACCCACCCCACATCAATACAATCTATTCCCTTAAGGAAGGTCTTTTTTTGTCAAACAAACAATCTGCTTTAATAGGCAGCCAGGCTCTGGGGTTCAACACAGTGTCATCACATAAGTCAATGCTTTCCCATTTAGAGGACTTGGCACCAAAGGCTCTTTTGTGTCGAGACTTTGTGATTTTAGAAAACCCGCAGCATTGAAAATATACTATAAGGCTTACTTTTATGTATACATTTTTCAGAATTCTAAACTTCTTATTTAAAAATTATTATGACTTTATAAACCATATCTGATGTCATGATGCGTACACATTAAGCTAATTCAAGAAGCTGTTGTTTTTGGTGTTTTTATAAAGGTATAAACAGTGCCTGTATCCTGCTGAAAACTGACCTGCTGTTAGAGCAGAAGATAATTTTTATAGCTGAAAGTTTAAAGCCTTTGACTTAAATTATGCATTTAGATTTATAAATGTTTCTACCTTATTTTCTAACTTGACAATAATCGTATTTATTGCAACAACCGTCGTGCCCTCTTCGTTTTTTGGGTCAGTTGGTAATTGCATTTATCTATGAATCATTCCTGAATGCATTTATATGTTAATGTCCATCACTGTTAACTCCGACACCTAATAAACTAAACAAAGACAGGGCTTTGAACTTCAGAGCACCACGGGTGATCCGGTGTTGGGCTTATTCTTTTCAAGTCTGTTCCACAGCTGCAAAGCACTGAGAAAGTCCATGTCATGTTCAACAAAGAAGTGGTCATGCAATCAACTTAAACAAAGACTTTGGTCCCCCATGTTGCTGAAAGCAATATGAATGGATAACCTTGGTCGAGCCTTTTTTTATTTAGACCATTGTAAAACTTTCTGCCTGTGCAGCTGTAGCCAAAACATGATGCATTTTATGCCTCGCGATGAGTTGGGACGGAGACCAAAATAATGAGGAGAGGAAGAAGAGATAGATGGGGGTAAGTGTTGAACACACATATACAATTAAGGGCGGAGGGTGTCGAAAAAAGCCCTAAGAGGCAAAAGGCGGTGGGGCCTGTGCAAAAAGCTAGCTCAGCAGGAGGTTCATTATTCCACCAACGGGATGCACTTTGCACATCCAGCTTGTGCAAACTCACACAAAGGAGCGTAGCAGCATGCAGGCAGCAGAAAGTGAGAGTAAGGGTCTACCTCTTGCTGTCTTTTTTTTTTTTAGGGGCAGTGGCACTTTTATGACCATGCTAATAAAGTGCCTCTGGGATACAGTACCTCCCACACCTCCGCCCATACGCACGCCAAGAACAGCTTGATTGGGCCTTAAGACCTGTGTTTATGGACACATGGATCAATACACTTCCTAAGGGTTTATATTTAAGAACAAAATGTGCTCCAGGATCGCAGATAAAAGGAGAGGGTAGGGACCCCAAAATGACAGTAACTTGATCCAGACTAAGGTTTATAAAAGAGCTTGTATCATTCTGATTTTATACCACCTTATATTACTCTTTTTTTCATACTTTTAGTGGCGTGTGTTTTTTTTTTATTTAAGTTGCAGTGGCTGATTATTCCCCCCACATCTTCCACCCTTGATTCCCTGTGCCCTCGCTTCTGGCGAATGCAAATCTGGAGCGTGACAAATGATGTAAGGCCGCCTCTGACACGTTCCAGCCCTTGGCTTCCCTGTGTCGCTCCCCAGCTTACCTCCCTCAGCTCCACAGTAATTACCCTTGTTGGATCGCTACGCCTGATCATAGTTGATTTTGGGATGCACTGCCATTCTCTCCACTTGTTAGCCTCTCACACTGCCTGGTTCTGATAGAGCGCACTGATAATTTGGAGGCAAGGAAATGAGACACACAAACCGAGATACACTCATACTTCAGTTGCTGTTGCTGTGATGATAAATCGCTTGATTATCTAATCATAAAAGCCAGAGATGGGGATGAAAAGATAAAAAAAGAACAGCAATGTTTAAAAAGAAATAATTGATGGATATTTAATAGCCTTCGGTTTTGTAAATGGTGCTTCATAAAGGTCAATGAGTGAGGAAAAGCCTGCGTAGAAGTGTTTTCCAATTTGTTCTCAATTGATCTAGTTATAAATTCCAGGCCTTTTCTTCCAATGATGAGATAGTTACTGCATGGGAAAAAACGGCTAAAAAAAAGGTATTTTCATTTACCTGTTGTGTACATGTAGGTCCCACATAATAAAATAACCACAGCTGATCTAATTTCCCTAATTCCCTTAACTAAATGTGTTGCTTTGGCAGCATTTTGCAGTTTTGTGTTGACTGAACATGAACTGATCACCTTAGTTCAACACCACTCAATCACTTCAGCTCCAAAAGCATTTAATCAATTAAAAGTGATGATTCGGGTTTGATTCTGCAACCTCTGGATTACTGAGCGTCTCTATCTTGTGAGCTATCTGCTCTGTGTCTTGCATTGGACTTCTATGGAGTTTAAAGCTGATACAGGGTAGGTTAAGTTTATTTCAGCTGAAATATTTATTTTGCTCTGCTTACTCGGTAGATTTACATATTGTGTTGTTTAGTTTAGCAGATTGGTAAGAAGATTAAGTTTGCATTAAGTTGCAAAACAAACCACACGTGAACCAAAGGCGTCTGCTATGTGAGCAGGGTAGCAGGTCCTATCAGGGAACTAAATGTCTCTCATTTTGTTAATTTAGTTTAATTCTTTTTTTTCATATCTGTCTCTCAGTACATGCGCTTTTGTTCATTCAACTTTGTGACCCCCACGCCTGATTTTATATCGTAGCATACCTGCTATCGCAAAGAAACAGAAATATATTTGAGTTTCTCTTAAGATAAATTGAACATTCTAAAATAAAAACTTTCATTATACAGTATTTACAAAAAATACTGTGACATTTAAGCACATAAAACAATAGTGTAAAAGTAACTGAAGGTGGTTTAATAGATCAGATTTCTTTTTTGGTGAGTTCTATCTTGTAGTTCACTGCACACATTGAGATGAATCTCTGTAGCCAAGCTGTGTCAGGATTCTGTAAAATCCAGTCTTTTCCTTATTCCAGTATTAAATGAGGCATAGGAAATTGAAAGATGAGTTGAATTAAAAATTTTTAGGCTGACTACATTTTACATAATGTGCTTTCACCTTCAAATATAGGGCAATTTGTCACCTTACAACTATAACCACTTAAATGTATTTTACAAGGCTTTTATATGACCCAAAAGGCAATGGTGCATATTTGTTTAGTGAAAAGCAAATGCGTTTTTCAAAAAATTGTACAAATAAATATTATGGAAATACACTGCAGTTAATTTTCAGTCCCAAAGAGACAATTATTTTTTAGAATGCTGCAGTTTCTGCTACAAGACTTCCTGTGTATATTTTTACCAACTTTTTGTGCGTAAGGGCTGAAATTTGAGCTCATGCTTTTATGCAGATTTTAACATCTATTTTTTAAATGTTGTCACATATTCTTAATTGAATTTAAGGTTGGACTTTAACATGTCCATTCTAGCACATGAATATGCTTCATCATTCTAATACATTCTGTCTTTTGTCTGTATGTATGATTAGGTTTGTTTGCCAAAGAGGAACCTTTGCCTCAGCCTCAAAGATTGTGCAACATCCAACACCAGTATGTTAAACTCCAATTTTTGAGCACCAGTGTCCTTTAACTCTTAGATGTGTCTTAGTTTCAACACGCCTGAGTCAAATAATTGTGCAATTAGCAGGACTTTGAGGAACTTCACTGTGGGGTGAGAAGGTAGTCAACCATTTAGTCGATGTGTTGGACAATGGCCTTTGAGGACTTGAGTTTAACTTTCCTGTTGATGTTTCCCTGTGTTTAGCTCCATCCATCTCCTCACCATTCTGCCTACTTTTTCTCTTTACTATTTGGACGGCCTGTTCAGGGGGGAGGGCAGTACTGTTTTTTCAGGTTTTTTTTTTACATAGACCAAGAAGTTTCATTTTTTTATTCTAACCAGAGCAGCTTATTTCACGTGTTTGTTGTGTCCCATAAATAGCTTATGGCAACTTTAAATTGAATTTCTTTGGCTTTCTTTTTTTCCCCTCAATAATGGGTTCTGTCTTGCTGCTTGTTTTTTGGTCTTTATGTATGTTTTTAACCATGTTCTCTTAGAGATCTATACTTGAAGAGAAACTGCACTTATATTGTCATAGAATTGCATACACATCGACATCTTTTACTAATGTGGTAACTTCCAAAGTCATGTGCACTGAATTCTGTTTGGGGATATCAAAGAAAAAAGGGCTAACAACAACTATATACAATAATTAAAATAAAATGTAAGGGGTGTGAGTACTTTTTTGAGGGATTGCATGCAATCATAGGGACATAACTACAACTTCTCTGTCATTGATATTTAAATGGAGATTAAGCTCATGATATTCTTTTGAGGTCAGGTGGATTCAGTGAGGCCTCACACAAAATAAAGTACTCAGGGAATCCAGGATTGATATAAAATGGTTTTTGATGATGATGTAAGATGCAGTGAGTCACTGCCACATTTCCAAGGCCCCTAATGTCTTATTTGGATGTCCTTGTTCTTAGTCAGTGTGTTATTGTGGTATCATCAGTATGAATCAGGTTTGACTAATTTCCTGTGCTTTAACTTGTCTCCTTTCTTTATTGTCTCTCTGTATCCAGCAACTCATTTGGAATGTACCCTATAATGATTTTTATATGTCTCTTAAAATCTGGATCTCCTTCCCTATATCCTGCAGCAGCACAGCATTTATACCTCTTAAGTTTTTTTCCCATTTGGTCATGAGTTTCTTTGTTTGGAATGTGACTCCTGCTGAGATGTCTAACTTCTTATCTTGTTTTTTTTTTTTTTTTCTTTCAGAAACATGTGAAGGTTCTTGTGAAAGATTGACCCACAAGTTGGCCTTCGACAAAAAAGGCAAACGTCACCTCCCTCCTTCTCCAAACCGTTCTCTCTGCTCAATCAGTGGTTTCCTTGTAGGATAGTAACCATGGATGGTCTGAAGGCTAAGCAAAGGACTTTCTCATTTTACCCCAAGTTTGGAGTAGTTTTTGCTCTTTTTTTCTTCTGGCTTCTAGCAGTTCCTGCCATAGATGGGCAGACTTTCACTAGTTTCCATCCTGAACGACGGGATTGGGTTTTTAATCACCTGACTGTTCATCAAACCACTGGAGCATTATATGTTGGAGCAGTCAACCGTGTGTACAAGCTGTCTGGCAACCTGACCCTCCTTGTTTCCCATGATACAGGACCCAAGGATGACAATAAGGCCTGCTACCCTCCTCTAATTGTACAGCCCTGTTCTGAGCCCCTTGTGCCCACCAACAATGTCAACAAGCTTCTGCTCATTGATTATTCCCAAAATCGGTTGCTGGCATGTGGCAGTCTCTACCAGGGTGTGTGTAAACTCCTCAGATTGGATGACCTGTTTATTTTAGTGGAGCCCTCCCACAAAAAAGAGCACTACCTCTCCAGCGTCAACCAGACGGGGACCATGTATGGGGTGATTGTGCCGTCACAGGGCCAGGACGCAACGCTTTTCATTGGCACGGCAGTGGATGGGAAACAGGACTATTTTCCTACTCTTTCTAGCCGAAAGTTGCCACGAGATCCAGAATCTTCTGCCATGCTTGACTATGAGTTGCACACTGATTTCGTGTCTTCCCTTATCAAGATCCCCTCGGACACACTGGCTCTCGTCTCACACTTTGACATCTATTATGTTTACGGCTTTGCAAGTGGCAGCTTTGTTTACTTCCTCACCGTTCAGCCAGAGACGCCAGAAAACAGCATGTCATCGAGTGGATCCAGCAGCGATCTCTTCTACACGTCCCGCATTGTTCGCCTTTGTAAAGATGACCGCAAATTTCACTCCTACGTCTCTCTGCCTATTGGGTGTGTGAAGAACGGCATTGAGTATCGCTTGCTGCAGGCCGCCTACCTCGGCAAACCAGGCCGGATTCTTGCTGCTTCACTCAACATAAGTGCCCAAGACGATGTGCTGTTCACCATCTTCTCCAAGGGCCAGAAGCAGTTCCATCGACCGCCAGATGACTCAGCTCTCTGCGTCTTCACAATCCGAGACATCAATGCAAGAATCAAAGAGCGCCTGCAGTCCTGCTATCAGGGAGAAGGAAACCTGGAGCTCAACTGGCTCTTAGGGAAGGATGTGCGGTGTACCAAAGCGGTGAGTTGCTCTCAATAAAAACACACAGTTTACATATATAGATAAATAAATATTAATCTTTGTGGTCCTTCTGTACTAATCAATTTGTATCCTCTAAAGAAAAAGCTGGGCTTTTTTTTTTTTGCACTAGTTTTTAAATTTAGTGGGACAAAAATGTCAGGTTGAAGTCCTCAGAGGTATGATCTCTGATTGATTAAAATAGCAAAAATGTGTTTTATTTTAGGGTTGGTGTTTTTAAGGATCACAAATTCAGAATATTTAAATAAAGCAACTTGTCCAATTCCTCTAGAAAAGAGATATGTCAATTATTTTAGACCTGAAATATAAAAGTCTTGCAGGTTTGACTGGTTAAAAAGTAAAGCACAGCAAATGATTTCATTGTTTTTATATTTTTTTGTGTCTTGTGGTGACAAGGACATTTTGCCGAATTTAATATATATATATATTTTTTTTTTATCTGTGCAACTTATCACCCAGAAATTGTGGCCTGCTTTTGTCTCCACTCCCATTTACTCTTATACACTGAAAGGACGTCTGGAAAAAATCCAAATCTAGATAAATCTGCCTTTTTTCTTAAAATAAGTGCAATTGTTCTTGAATTGAGAAGCTAAAAGAGACATTTGGCCAATGGAACAAGAAAATCACATTTAAAAAAGGGAAAACACAATTGCATTGTCTTATTTCAAGTGCATTGTATCAAAATATCTTCATTTAAGAGTAAAAATACTCATTACAAATCATGGCAAATCATCTCATTTACCTATTCAAGTTGAGGGTGAATATACTGAATTTCAGAAATTTATACTTATTCCTAGATCATTCTTCCAGTGAGGTGCATGTAACTGCCTTTAGAAATCAGCTTAGTGGGTTTAAAGAGCAAAGATGCTTGTAACATAATTGTTGTGTAAATACAGCTTCTCTGTGAATGCCTCAATTTGTGAGAACATTAATGAATAAAACAGCATGATAAAGACCAGAGGTCTAGCAGACAGGTCTGATATGAAATCGTTGCAGTTTTAAGCAGTGTTATATTAATACAGACTAACAATACCATTCCAAGATCACGTTACTGTTCAGTCCCTAATATGAACATCAAAGAGGTAAAAGTTGTAACCAACTGAGGGATGGCCCCCCCCACTTGAACTGACAGAATGGGTAAAGAGAGCCTTAAAAGGAGAAGGAGTCATGATTGACATGGAGCAGCTAGAAAAACAATCCACTTTTTTTTTTTTTTACCATTATTATTGTTAGATTTGAACTCTTCATGAAATTCCTAAGCAGTCATGTTTGCAAAAAGCAAAAACAAAAGATGCTCTCGTTAGATTAGAGTAGATTTGACCATTTTTTGGTCAACATACAACATGTATTGTTCAATTTAAAACTAACACTATACTTCATCAGAAAACACCACTTTATTATATGGTAGTGGCAGTATCATGCTGTGTGGATGATTATCTTCATGGGAACATGGGTGAAACTAAACTCACCTCCACAGCTACAATGGAATGATTAAGCATTGCCATTTTTGAGCAGTTGGCAAAGAAATAAGGGCAACATGTAATTTTCCAGATGTGAAAATGCAACCCAGACTTTTCTGATTTTTAATCCAGCTTTTAAGTTATGCACTATTATGTCTTTGTTTATCATAAAAAAAAATCCAATCTGATAAATTGTGAAAATGGGTATGAATACTTTTTGTAATGCAGAACACTTTACAATCAGTGAGGTCAGAGAACTGACAAACATCAGCTACATCTACAGTGGTTTAATTCTCTGAAGTATAATAAGCTGTAAGGGAATTATTTAAGTTTCTCTGTGAGCCAAAGCAGCACAGTGCCTTTAAGGGGGGTTAGAATAAAAATAAACACAGCAATCATCCGGAAATGTTTCTGACTGCCTGGCATTTCATGCGCTCTATTATCAAATGACTCTCAAACTACTTGTAATGATGTCAAATTGTTTTGTTACTCTGATATCAGAGAACATCTACTTTCAAGTGCATTTCAGAGACACATTCATAAATTACGCAGTTTGTTTTTTCTCTCTCTTTGCAACCATCAAAGTGATTTTTTTTCCAAGCATAGTCAAAATAAATGCTATTCCACTCAACAGGAGTTATGCGCATATGTGTGCTTGCACGTGTGTGTGTGTGTGTGTGTGTGACTGTGAGCAGATTTAAGAGGGAGGGTGTCTAGGGGTTGCTCAAGTCTGCTTGTGATGCTCGTGTAGATCACACGCGAGTCCATTCCCTCTAAAGTTCCTAATTATCCCATAATAAAAAGGCTGTGTATCTGTTACATGTTGTCAAGTAGAATTAAGTTCCTTGATTCTCCTTAGGTCCCAGGAGGCTGTGGTCCTCTGTGTTTTCACTCTGCTGCAGCTAATAGGAATTTAAGATTATTAAGAATTAATGACTTCTGACTCACTCTATTATGTAATATATCTAAATATACAATGAAAAAGCCTGCCAGTCTTGGACATTAACATGTGCATTGTAAGGTTTAATGATATCCGTGTCTCTCATTGTGATGAAAACCAGCGATTATCTTCTTTGTTTGCTAATCCCCTTTAGGGAGCTCAATGGATCATATTCACTCAAATCCATATACGTGCCCGTTTAAAACATCAGGACAGAGAGTAAAGATATTATCTTTAAAAAAAAAACAAAAAAAAAAAAACTGGTGGTTGAGTTTTTATTAGTTCTACTGAGAGGGCAGAAAAGGATATAGCATACAGTGGTGTGGGCGTACGAAGTCGTGCAGTGGTGACAGTGCTGTGGCTTTGAGCCTTGTTATCCACCTGAGCTGGGATTAGAACATTCTTCCACTTTCCCTGAGAAGTCCCCAATCATCCCAATATGCACTGATGGTTGCCAGCTGTTACCTGCAATGACCGCTCCTCCCACTCTATTCTGCAGACATGAACTGCCAATGATGTTCTGCTGTCCGCTTGGATTAAAGGCTACATGGCCTCTGTGCGTTTTGCCAGAGAGACGAGAGAAATGTCAAACATGGCCCTTTCGACCACGCTCACATGCTCGATAAGCAGCCAATAAATCCATAGTGTATTCTTGATTATGCAGATACACGTCAATGAATGTGGGAGTCTAAAATCACAATAAGTTGCATTTAGCAGCCAGATATGTCAGCCTTGCTAATGTTGCTGGAATGATGCTGAACAGTGTGGCTACTTGGAAGTATTAATCCATCACGTGTTTTTCTCATATGAATACAGAACAGCGTGCACTTATTGCCCTGGGTGTAGCTCTTTTTAAAAGCCCGTAGATTAAATGTGTTTTTATAAATGTGTCGCTGCATTAATTCATGCTACAAAAATGTAGAACAGTTGGACTGTGATTTGAGTACTTTAATAAAATTAGGAAACAAAGAAAGACAATTGTTAACCCTGCTAAGAGAAAACATGGTAGAATCTAATTTTATTAAGAGGAAAACAGCGTTTTTTAAAATTACATTTCTAAAGATTAGTGCAAACAGAGAAAGGTTTGACCATCCCTCTCTGTGCTCTCCATTGTTCGGCGTCCTTTTGCTCTGTAACTCAGATCAGAGGTTGTAATTAAGGTTTTAAGGTGGTAGAGGAGATGTCTGGTTTTGGATGGGGATGCATTTTCCACATTTTTTTCCTTTTCCTCCCAACCATGATACTTGAATTTGGGTATATTCTGATACAGATACTATTCAGATACCAGAACTCTTTTTGCTCTCATGTAATCATCATTACTGTTGATTTTTTTTTCATTTTTTCTGTAATAAACTCCTCTCTACAGGTTAGTAGGTATCATCTACACTTTATCTGCGCTAGTTTTTTCCACATTAGTCTCTGTTTCACTCCAATCTCACCTAGATTTGGTTTTTCCCACAAACTGCCCATTTGTTGTGTCATCTAACCCATGACCATGGTTGCAGTTAAAGTCCAGACATAACTTACCTTTTTCATGGCTTTACCTCCCCCAATTTTTTTTTTCCTTGTATAAATCCCATCCCTGCATCAGTGAGATGTAGTCTGTGTCCATTATGGAGCCTCGGTGTCACCAAGCTGTGTCTTTTTGCTACAGCGAGCGTTTTTATTATTTATTATTAACTGGAGAAATCTAAGCAACCAAGACTGTATTTTTTGTTCAGTAAGAGATTATGGAGATTGTGTTGCTCCACTAAGAATTGATTTGATGGTAAGACCTTTCCTTATTTTTGCTGGGCGTGGCTTTTGGCTGCATTATTCTGTCTTTTTTTGTTGTTTTTTTTATAATGTTTTTAGAGTAGACATTAGTTTGAACCAGGATATCCTGATGTTAAATCATTTTTGGTTAGAGCTTCTATTTAAGGTTAGACTCGCATTGTGGTTTTGTTAATTGTGCCTCAAACAGCTTCTGGCCAAATTATACAGTGTGTCTGCATGCTTTTCTTCTGTCTCACTGCTAACAACAGGTAGTCTGTAAATTCAAACTGGACATCTTTAATTATATACATCCAGCATATACTCCTCTTGCACACGTTGCACTGAAAGTATGCTTACATTCAGGCATTGTTGAGCCTTGGAATGGAACTGTGGCTGAACCACGGATGTTCACTCACACAGCAGCCAATCAAAGATTTATCATCCATCCGTTCAGCCTTCCACCATCTGGAGATTCATACCATCTTGGTAGTCAGTCCCACAGAGTAGAACCAAAATGTTGTTCTTTCTTTTGTATCCATCTGTATGTGTGTCTCTACACTGACTAACAATATCATTTGGTCTTGCTTTTCTTTTTTTTCTTTTTTTTATCATTTAATAAAGTAAATTGAAAAAGACATTGACAGCTAACATTGAAATATATATATATATATATATATATATATATATATATATTAGAGCTAAAACAATTAATCAGATTAATCGATTATTGAAATAATCATCAACTAATTTAGTAATCAATTCATCGTTACATGAGTAAAGAGTCTCTAAGACATGCCTTTAGCTGACAGAGAAACCCACTTAGAGCAGCAATTATATAAAAATTGTAAAATAATATATAAACTTTTTGCTTTTAAGATAAAAAAAATGTTTTTGTTTGTCAATAAGCTCTATCCAGAACTCCTCATGTGGAAAAGTTTTTGTTTCACCTAGTTTCATTTAGTAAAAAATCTTCTTTAAGGAACCTTTGGCTATACCATTAATAATCAATTAATAACTTAATGGTTTGATAGGGATTAATAAGACAAGGTGAGAGTCTGTTTTTGTCAAACGAGAACTCTGTTAATATTTCTTATGATAACAAGAGTCAAATGGTCTGGATTTCATCAAATTGTTTAAAGAGCTTTTTAAGGGCCCTGTCACACCTTGCTAATTTAGCCAGCATATGCCTGACGTCCCAGAATCTTCTAAAGCGCTGGCATACGCTGAACTTTCTGTGTTTTTTTTCAAATATGGGTGTCTACATAGCGTATTCATAACAAGTCTAGAACTTATGTCCAAGGACAGCCTAACTTATGCATAGAGCACAGCAGCGATGCACAAGCATCATTTCATGAGAATTACGAAGCATCAGTTAAAGCTGATCCCCTCAGGTGCATGCACCTGGAGGCACCCGGTCTGCATAAAAAGATGTCCGTGCTCGCGGTAATAACCTGGCTGCTGTTAACTTATACAAAACGTACCCATAACCTATCCAACGTATGTCAGGCATACGCTGGTCTAAATCGTCAAGGTGTGACAGGGGCTTAATCTTGAAGAAATTGAAATTCTGGAAACTAAATCAATTTCTTAAGATTTCTTAATCAATTTCTTAAGTTCTATTCAATCATAGTGAATTCAATCGTAGTGCTTTCCACTGAAAGCACTACGGTGCATTTATGGAGTGTCCTAAAAGCGGCAGCTTTGAAAAAAATTATGCAAAGTTTGAGAGAGAGAAAACCCAAATCTTTGCACTCTATTTTTAGAGTAAAGACGATCATAATTTTAGTTTTCTTCCTCTGTTCTTATTTGCAGCCATCATAACCACCGTAGTGTTTGACCCCCCCCCCCTCGTTTTGAACTTAATGATTGTTTTCGCTGTCTGATATGATTGGCCTCCCTTAAATGGGAATGTCACTGAAATTAGTCTGTTTACATTATGATTTCTTGACCAAAAGGGAGACATGTAAACCTAGGGGGGGCGCAGATGTGAGATAGATGTATAGACAGAAAGGTAACAAAAGAGCCGGCATTAGAATGTGTGAATAAATATGCCAAGGTTTTTAGGGGATGTTTACATGGGGGTGGTCTGTCGACTGTCCCACTTTACTCCACATGGCACATTGAGGTCACTGACACTCAGACTGTCAGCTTATCTTATATAAAACCAGAAACGTCCCTTTCTTGTCTTCATTTACTTTCTCATTGTTTCATCACTGTCTTGATTTATCTAGTGTAGGGATGGAGATCACATTTATTTTTCTTACACAACGTTGTTCACTATTTGATTATAGTCATATTTTCCAATAAACGGACAATTACAGATTGCATCAGACATTTTGACTAGTATTATTATCCAGACTGTGGCTTATTGCAGGGGTCTAATGATAGGTAAGGGTAACAAGCCACATTGAGAACCAGGTAGAGCTTAGTCAGGTGGATCAGGTACATATTTTCAGGTAGGACAATAATGCCAACTTCTCTCTTAAACTTAATCTGGCACGTCTTTGCTTCACCATCGCTCTCTGCTCTCCTTCCAGTCCATCGGCTTCATCATATTTCACTCATGGAGACATGTTCTTTTTACTACGCTTTGTATTTCAGTTTCTGCTCTTAATCAATTATTTAGAACTACTATTCTACTATTCAGCTCCATCCACGAATTTCTTTCTTAGATCTCAGTTTGGGTTCAGTGTTTAGCAATGCGCTCAGCCCACAGGATGATACTCTATAACGGGTTTATTATATTCAGGGGAACCTAAGAACTATTTTCCACAATCTGTTTCATGCAATCTCTGTTTTAGATTGATAATTTTCCTTATGATAATTATGTTCTTTAAAGGGATAGAAATCTGATTGTGTTCATGATCAACTTTTTATAAACTTTTTTAGATGATACTGTGACTGGAATGCATGTACGAGTCCGGGTTGCGTCAGGAAGGGCTTCTGGCATGAAAGATTTGCCAAGTTTGTAAGAAACTGACTTCCTTTGGCGACCCCTGAATATGGGAGCAGCAAAAAGAACACACAATACTATTACATTAGCTGTTTAAACATATTTCCCATCTTAGTTTCATTATATCACCAATAAAGATTTTACATATTTGGAAATAAAAATTAATGCATTTATAAGATGCCTTTAGCTAGACAGGTAAACTACTAAATGTAACTGTTGTATTATAGTGACCTATTTGTGTGCAGAAGTCTTTTATTAATGCAATGAATGTCACCGCATTTGTTATGAGATTTTAAGCCTGAGTTTAGAATTATCCAGTTTAAGTCTGAGTACTTGATCACTGAACAAAAAAAAAAAAAACACTTCCAAAATAAATATTCAGTGCTTGAAAACGTGATTAAGAATTGAGTTAACATTCTTCACAGATAATTTATACCTGGACTTTTATTATTTTCTTTAGTTCTGTAGAAAGTCCAATATCCTGCAATACCAAGTATTTAAAATGATGATATATTCTTCACTGGTTTAAGGGCTAAGTGTTTTTCGGGGGCTAAATGTAACCTGAATATAAACAGAATAAACAGAAGAGTCTCAAACATACAAACAGGTTTTTAAAGCACTCCTATAAGGATACAGTAATTATGATAAGAATACTCAAGTAGACAAGTTTATATGTAAGATTAACCAAAAACATTGTGTTATGATTTCACATAGATGAGAAATATTAATGCTTTTTAATAATGTGAAATCTCTTACCATTAGAACTCCCTATACCCATCGTCCTCTTTTTCTTTAGGACACATTCTTTCTGATTCTGGTTTTATTTAGACTGATTTACAATCACTTTCTAAATGTTTTTCTTCTGGTTCTGCAGCCTGTGCCCATTGATGACTCCTTCTGTGGTCTGGACATCAACCAGCCACTTGGCGGCTCTCAGCTGGTGACCGGCCACACGCTCTACACTGAGACTCGGGACCGCATGACTTCTGTGACTTCCTATGTCTACAACGGCTACTGTGTGGCTTTTGTGGGCACCAGGAGTGGACGTATAAAGAAGGTAATTGATGCTTCCTGTTCTCCTGAAGCAGTTAACACCTCTCTTGTGGGAGATTTCCGCTCTCGTCATTATCGTGATGCACAGAAAGTCAAGCTGTCAAAAGTCCCTGGTGTATAGACATCATGATGTCCTTCTATTTCTGGGGATGTGGATCATAGTCAGAGGCAATATTATCTCCTTAGTATTAAAAGCCTGCTGTCGAACTGTCAGGGAAGGGTGATACCAGTGGGTAACTCATCGTAATGGTCATTACCAGCTCCTCCAGCACCTTGTTGCGGTGTGGAAAAAACCTGAGCTGAACTATTAGTATCAATGGGACCCTTTTTGTTTCTGGCCAAGTGATGGCAGAAAAGAGAGACCTGGCCAGTACATTAAACCTTCAAGTTCTGGTTTTGAGAGAAAACTGAAGCGACAAAGGGTAAAGGGAGGGTAGGATGGTCTACAGTGATAGATTTTTAGACTGGAGCTGCTGGAATGAAATGATTGGGTGAGCTTTGACAGAATTTGACAGCGAAGGAGCTTAACCCTGTATTCTAAAACCAGAGATTAATAATATGTACATTGGTCAGAATGGCCTGTGATTTGGTGGCCTTCTGTACTCTATATAGTCCAATGTTGGACTATACATTTAATTTAATTTAATTTAATGCTTATGCAATTAGATTTTGTCACTACATTAATGCTTTCTTACATTAAAACTTTTGGGTCAACTGTTGGATTTATTTTAAGTCAATGAACACACCTTAATTTAGTGCTACCAGGTTCTGGGGAAATTTTTTTGTGGGTGAGTCGATAAAATACTGAGTAAAGATCACTGGAAGATGGCAATTATGTGCACAGTTCAGCTAAACGGATAAATCAAAGATCAGGGGAAACAGAGTTTTATAAAGTTATTCAATAGGAGACTATCTATTCAGGCTGCAGGACATAGTTAGTCTTTTCGTAGATAGCAGGGATGTTAAATGAAGACCTCTGTGATAGGAAAACACTAGCAGACTTTGGTAATCACACAGTTAATGTGAAGCTCTACATTTTCTGAGAAACAGACACACAGATTACTGTTAACAGTGAGGCGGTTTGCGCTAAGTAGACAGATTTCTATGATAATGACTCAAAGGAAGCTTGAACACCTATTGTTGTCTTATGTATACAGCCAAGATAGCATGTGCATTCCCCCAATGCCAGTTATCACACATTCATTGTGGGACTAGGAACCTTTGGTTAGCTCTTTCTCTGTTACAACTGGTCAGTAATAGTCTTATGTTATCATTGACTGTTATAAATCTCACTCATTTGTATTATGCCACGATTGCCAAGAAAACCTGTATTATGATGACTTGTGTCTCAAATTTAGTCTAGCATTACATTTACCCCTAATATAAAAATTCTTAAACACCAGTCTATCCTGGGAGGTGAGATGTTTTTTTTATGCTTTTTAATAGCTTTAGCTGTTAAAGGGAAATTGGAAATTAATTAAAGTCAGTATCTGCAAAATGAAACCAGGGACAAATACCGTCAATGTGTCTATTGAACCCGCTTTTTAAAGATGAACTTTTTATGCTACTTTATGCACATCAAAAAATCTTGCTACATTTTGCAAATCGTTGGGTTAGTCAAGCCTGGCATTTTAGCACAAGCAGTGGCAATCTGTGTTGGCCTAAGCTATGTTGTCTCTAGTTCAAATCTGTTAACAGATCATTCTGTGGGGGTTGGAGTAGAAAAAAAAATGATGCAATTCATCATTTGTACCGTAAAGATCTATTGCCTCTTGTTTTATTTAGTTAAATTTCAAAAGGCAAAAAAGATTGTTCTGATACTGTTTTATCTTCGCGCCTCTCCCCGTTAGCTTCCTCACTTTTCTTGCCTCTATCATCCACCCTGATCTCAAAGTATCATTGCTGAAAAAGCCAAGCGCGCTGCTGCTGCTGCTGCTATGTGCATACTCAAATTGCTTCTCACAGAGCCGTGACTGTAGCCACAGTAACAGCAAACTGAAGAAGGAATTAACCATATGAGACGAACATCTAGACAAAAAAAGCAGCACAGTTGAGTGCTCAGAGCACCCTAATCCTACTAAGGCACATACAGAGACTCACTAGATGAGAAAATGAGAAAAGTTTAGACTACGATCAACCTAATTTTATCCAAACAAAAACCTAATTACAGCAGTTGTAATACAAATAATATAGATATAAATTTAAATTTGGCTAAGAATAAGTAAATTGATCTGTGCTATGATTGTTTAAACTGGGCCTAAAAAGCTTGTGTCAGTGGAACCATTGCCTTGCTAGATTTTATTTAAATTTTTCGTTTTTTAGAGGATTTGACTAGAAAAGCAACTGCGTCTCCCCAATTTCCATACAGGTATGATCTTGGTCAAGGTGAAGCCTTGATTTGCATGACGGCTCATGCTTCGGCCAGCTCTGACTGTTCATCTAATGTGCATGAAAGAGAGTTTGACCACAACCACCCAGAGATTTAGTGTTTCCCTGTCACAGGCTTTTTAAAACAGATGCATATTTCTTTTTTGTTTTTATATAAAATATGCTGATTCAGATATCTACTTATTTCAAATTTTTTTCTTTAATTTTAGACACTGTAACACAAACAACGTAAAAGATGCTGTCAGCTCTTTAAAAGGATGTATTTGTTATTCTAAATAACAGGAAATAAAGGAAAGTATGTGCCAAAAATATGTGACTGAGCTTAATCAGTTCTTTTTATCAAGCTCAAAATGTCCATCAAAGTACTTGCTGTTGGTTGATGCATTCAGTAAGAAAAGCTTTTTCAGGTTTCGATCTGCACATCCCTTCACGGCAATGAACTGATGTTGATGTGTGGTCAGCTGATCATCCCTGAAGTGTGGAATAATGATCAACGTTGCATGACTGCACAGTTTGCCTTTCTTATCTGAAGTGTTTGTTGTTGTTTTTGCCTTGAGGATGATCCATTCACTCCCTTTGTCTCCAGAGGCAGGGCTAATATATGTGATGATCTTTAGCTGCAGCCTTTTTGCAGAAGGGTTGTGCAGAGCATTGTGAGAGACATGGATGAAGTCGGATGCTTCAGGCTTCCTGCTGATCTGAGCATGACACAGCCTGGGTGGCAAGCTTTGATGCTAGGCTAGTGACACAATCCTGCACATGCCTTCATGCAACCAAAAAAGTCAAGCAGCTGGGGAAAAGAATGAGTGTGACAGCAGTGTGATCCATAAAAGAAAATATACTAAATAAATGTTTCTTTTTACATATATGTCAATATAAAGATTTCCATATATATGTAGATATATGTATATAGAGAGAGACAAGTTACAGAAAGAGGCAGAGATGGAGAAAGGAAGAAGGCACTGGGGGGGGGAGTGAAGGCAAAGAAGTGCAGTGAAATGTGAATTTAGTGCCGCCAGAGAAACTAGGATTGCACCGCTTCTTGTAATTAGATTGGCTCCAATCCCAAAGTTGCCCTCTCCCCATCTTTCCATTTATTGCCTCCCCATTCAGTTCCACTCCTCCTTCCCTTCCTCCTCGCTCTCCCTGCCGACTGGCTCTCATGTGTTCTGCTGTTTTTAGGGGCTTTGCTGGAGAATAGTGAAGTATGAGGGATGGTGTTGGCGGATAACGCTGCCTATAACCAGCCTTGTTTGTGTGTGTCATGGCGGTGGGATCAGTGTGTCTACTGAGGATGAAGGGTTAACAGGATGGGAATTCATTGTGAATTTTACCTTCACCCCCTTGAAATAAACCCTAGTTTAGAAAGCCAAAATTAGGAGGTAGTCCAATAATGTAATGTCAGTGCCATATATATTTTGTTGGCAAACATGAGCTTTTTAGGGTTAGCTCTCATGTTTAATGGGAGCTCAGGCTGCCGTAAAGCAGCGTTCTTGGTCACATGAGTTATTGGTGAAGGATCTGACAAGGGATCCCCTTCAGAGGGATCTGAAGGCGATCCAACAAGTTGCAATCAATACTCAACAAGTGCTGTAAATGTTTGGGTCAACACTTCTACTGTGTTGCTTTAGACAATAAAACAAAAAGTGTCTGGATGTTTTTTACATGGATTTCAGGCCCATGAAGTGTTGAGAACGCACCACTGTTCAAGTTGTTGAGGTCACATGTGTTCCCCCCCTCCACACACACACTTATCACTCCTTCATGTTGTTTTGGTTCTTATCACGCCTGAGTTGTTTCTCATCCCAACCAGCATGGGGGATGTTGTGGTCCAGTGTTTCAAAGTGTGAAAGTTGTGAAGTCGCCTGGGAGAGAGCGTCAAGGCCATCTTGTAGGTGTTGCATTCCTGTTACCAGAGGCCAGAGGAGTTTAACAAGGATGACTTCCTATACTATTTACTAAAGCTATCTTTTTAGATTGATATGGCTAAACCTTTCTATACTCTGTACTGGGATGGTACCACCACATTAAAAGATCTTTTAAAAATGCAACATATATTATATTAACATTCAGCAGCAAATTACTAAAGTAATTGTGGCTATTAGGACAGTGGAAGTGTCTTTGGGAAATAATATCTTTGGGAAATAATATGAGAATCTATTCAGATTACATTGTTTTATAGCCCTAATTGTGACAGAATAACCAAGTCAATAAAATCGGGATTCTCCAAATTTGCTCTGATCCTGCAACTTTTAAGCATCCATGAGTTTCAGGAAAACATGGAGTGCTTTTTCATCTACCTCTTAGGTGGCCTAAGCAGGAACATTTTCCACATAGCAATCACTCGTGTCTCACATATTCATTAGAGCGTCAGAACTTTACTGATGTCTCCTAAATGATTCTAATACAAAATCCAAGAAATTTGAAGGATTGCTAACACAATATTGTATTGACTTTAATCGTAGGCAGACCTGGTCACTTTTGTGTCTGGTATGTTTTGAATTGTGTTTGCTGTAATCTATGGGTGAGTAAAATGTACTCCCTGATATGATGCGCTTTTCTTTTCATCATGCACTGATAAATAATCAGGAAGTGGCTCAGATGATTTGCTTTGCA